TTTTTTTGGGGGGACAAAATGAAGAGCTTAATTTGGGATACCTCCCACTTTTTTGTGATATTTTGAGAGTCACAGCAGAACAAGAAATTTAATGCAAAATTACACGTAGTTTGATGTTTGACAAAGAACACAACTTAAACATCACTGGCTCTGTAATTACCTCGTATTCCTCGCAATAAAGTGAATATTTCTTGGGGGTTACTTATTTCCATTTCCCATATCGCTTGTATGAAGCAAGACCTTTGCCTCATACATACTGTACACTGCAGTTCTTGACACACTCTGTGCAACTGGAGTCAAGAGTGGACTCTGATGCAACTCTCCTCAGATAGGCCAATCAGCAACCTCGGCAGCTCCTGGTGATTTGTGGTACTGTGTCTGGAATTCTCAAGTCCCGTAACTATTTCAAGCTTGGAATGCACTCAGAATATAAGTAGCAGTCCCTTTGAGGCCCCATCTTTTCACCGTAAGTGCCGTGACTACAGCCACTCCAATGGCACCCCCAATGAACAATCGCCGCTTCCATTTTCCAACCTCTTCACCGTACCAATGAGTTTTCCTCTGGTTGTCGAGACAAATCAGTAACCGATCCGCTTGGCGGTGAGGCTCAAGGCGTCTTAGGACCTCGTCCGCTGCCCGCATCCCGGACTGCACTGCGCCGTTTATGAAGCCCGTGTGGTGTGTGGCTGTTTCTGTTCCAGCCCAATGCACCCTGGAAAAGGAAGGGGCAGGGAAAGACAACCTTTTATAGGAGCAACATGGATTTGGAGGACTGAGATATTCATCCTCAGAACTGGTAGTTTGAAGGGATAAATATGTTGCATCATGGTGCAGTTTCAATCAGAGCTACACTAAGCTACCATCAAGCCCTAGACCCTTTTCCGGGTCTAAAATTTATGCTGACCTTTGTAAGACACCAAACTGAAAACTGAACTACCGGGAAACAGTAAGCTACTGACTCGGTATTTTATGCTATGCACCATACCAGTACTGCCTTCCCTGCAGTCAGATATGTCTAGTCCCAGTCAAGCAATAAAGTGCCTACTCGTGTATCACATTGAGTTGACCCCCTACTATGTCAGGGGTCATACGGACAACAATACAAAGGGCAATTTCAAGACCCTAAGTCCGTGTGGGAAATACAGGAGCTATGTTTAGTGTTAAGTCAGCAACCTGAAAAATGGAGTCCTGAGCCCACTGTGAAAGGTCATTGCTCCCGGTGTCATAATATTGACAGGGCAGCCACCATTGTAAGACTCCAGTGCCCAGTCCTGGAAAAAGAGAACAATCAAACAGTTGGATTTATTCACTTGTGGGTTTTTTTCCGCTAATGAAACTACGAGTTTCTGAAAGTGCAGGCACCAACTTGGAAGCCTAGCAAAACCTGCAATATGGCACATGTACGTGGGTTCTACAAGGGGTTGGGATGACATGGGGGAGGCAATCATATTGCTGACTGCACGCAAACAACCACTGTGTATACCGACCTTTTCACAGTAGTCCAGGGGGTCTCTTGCCTTTGGCCCAAGGAACTCGGCTAGGGAGTCCAAAACAGCTTGCTTTCTGGTTTGGGGCTGTTTTTGAGGAAGAAAAAAATGCTTCCATTTACCTTTGGCAGAAACAAGGAGTAAAGAGGACTTTAGGGGTCACTGATGAAATGGTTTCCAAAAATAAGAGAAATTCTCTTTTTTTTCTCCACGAAGAAGAAATGCAACTCACTTCAATGTGACTCCACTCTCTACTGTTGGCATAGAATCCAACAATGGCAGGGTTGCCGCTGGATGTCGTGCAATCGTAGGTGAGTTGGAGAGGGCCTGAGCTGAGACCTTCAATAGTTGGCTTACCCCCATTGCTGACAATTTCACCAGAAAAACCATCCTCCCTCCAAAAAGCCTACAAAGGAAACTGAGACTGTATGGCCTGGATTTTCTCAGTAATTACTAACCTGAGCTACATTACTATGGTTGCTGAGATCGATGTACATATTAAAACAAGCAAGCAGAGGTGAAAGACGAGATGTAAGCTAAAAGATACTGTCTTTATAACAGACAACGAATCAACATGTCATCTTTGAACTACAGTTCACAAATGAAGATGTCTTTATTTAATGACATGCTCACAATTACTTTTTTAACATGGTATCTCTTTCAATGGTAGAATATTTGAAAATTAATTACTGTCAAAGATTCAGAAGACCAGGGGTGCGTTCTATAGCACAAAAAGTATGCAAGTACATGTATTGGCATACCCTGTATACGTTATTGTTTATGATATGCATATGCATGCAAAGTATTGTGTAATTGAACATGCTCCCC